CAATCCTGATGCCACATTTTTCTTCTCGGATTATTTGCTCAGCATACATACATTGAATAAATATGGTGAAAGAATACAACCCTGTCACACACCTTTCTTCATTTTAAACCATTCAGTGTTCCCATGTTCTGTTCAAACAACTGCCTCTTGGTCCAGGTACAGACTCTGTCCTGTAGGATCACTATAATTCAGAATTCATGGCAATTGTTATGTTTTTGTTTTTAATTTGTTGTATGCTTAAAAAGTAGTCAGCAGAACCCAAGGACAAAGTTCAGAAGGGTTAGGAAAGAGGAGGAATGAAAACAGGAAATACAGGGAGGAAATGGGATAAGTGATGTTACATTGTGGGGATTTTAAATCAATGACATGAACCAACATGAATATGAATTGTTGAATGGAAAATTAATTTGCTCTGAAACCCTTCACCCAATTCACAATAAAATTTTTTTCTTTAAAAAGAGAGTTACATAAAGTTGTCTTTTACCTATTTTAAAACAAAAATATGCCTTGTGTAAAAAATGTTAAATTTAGATTCAGTACAGCCAGTAAGACTGAGGAAAAGTATTGTAGATAAAAATGTGGCAATAGAACTTCTGAGAATTGAAAGATTATGTTGGCAAAAATGGAGCACAAGGTCACTGGACCTAGAAGCTCTTTCAATCTATTGTCCTTGCTACAGGGGATGGCCACTATTTCCCGACCTTTTCTGATTTAGAATCCATTGCATGGTATTGTAGATTGAATTGTGTCTTCCCAAAAATATGTTGTAAACCATAATCTCTATCTACATTAAGTCAGTTAACAACAACAAATAACATGTCTGTAGTATAACTCCATTTGGGAATGAAGTGTCTGTTGCATTAGTGAGACAGGATTAGTGTAGGGTAGTCTTAATCTCTTTTGAGGTCTAAAACAGATTAAACAAGCAAGTGAAAGAAGCAGAGATAGAAAGATGCCAAACCACATGGAAGATTGCCCAGAAGCACTAGTTCAGAGGAGACAAGGACCTTCCTTCAGAGCAAACAGAGAAAGCCTTCCCCTAAAGCAGGCAACCGGACTCTGGACTTCAATTTTCCTAAACTGAGAGAACTTGTTTTCAAAGCCACCCATTTGTGGTATTTCTGTTATAGAAACACTATATTAATATGACAGTGTATAATCTTGCAAATCCCTGTAAATGTTGGTGTTGTTTTTGTCATATGTAACCTGGTTATTTACCAACATTTTATTAAAATTTCACACATACAGCAAAATTGGAATAATTTTACAAGGAACATTTCTAAACAGATGATCCATATTTTACCATTTTACTATACTTGTCTTATATATTTATCCATTTGTTCATCTCTCTGTCCATAAATTAATGCAGCTTAGAGTGTTTCAGAATAAACTACAGACTTTTGATATGATTTAAGTAAAAAACTTTTAATATCTTACAAGTAA